GATAGATAGATGTGGGGATGTGGATGGATAGATACTAGGGCTGTCAAGCAATTCTAAAAAGATAATCATAATTAATCAGGCAATTAATTGCATTGTTAAACAATCCTAGAACACATTTATTTAAATATTTTGGATGTTTTCTACATTTTCAAATATATTCACTTCAATTACAACACAGATTACAAAGTGTACAGTGCTCACTTTATATTTATTTTTGATTACAAATATTTGCACTGTAAAAACCAAAATAAATAATATTTTTCAATTCACCTACTACAAGTACTGTGGTTCAATCTCTTTATCATGAAAGTTGAACTTACAAATGTAGAATTATGTACAAAAAGATAACTCCATTCAGAAACAAAACAATGCCAAACTTTAGAGTCTACAAGTCCATTCAGTCCTGGTCAGCCAATTACTCAGACAAACAAGGTTGGTTACAATTTGCAGGAGAGAATGCTGCCTGCTTCTTATTTACAACATCACCTGAAAGTGAGAACAGGTGTTCTCATTGCACTGTTGTAGTCAACATCGCAAGATATTTATGTGCCAGATGCGCTAAAGATTCATAGGTCCCTTCATGCTTCAACCACCCTTCCTGAGGACATGCGTCCATGCTGATGACGGGTTCTGTTTGATAATGATCCAAAGCAGTGCAAACGACGCATGTTCATTTTCATTATCTGAGTCAGATGCCACCAGCAGAAGGTTGGTTTTCTTTTTCAATGGTTCGGGTTCTGTAGTTTCCTCATCAGTGTTGTTCTTTTAAGACTTCTGAAAGCATGCGCCACACCTCATCCCGCTGATTTTGGAAGGCTATTCAGATCTTGCGTTGAGTGCGGAAGCTCTCTTTAGAAATCTCACATCGGTACCTTCTTTGCATTCTATCAAATCTGCAGTGAGAGTGTTCTTAAAATGAACATGTGCTGGGTCATCATCCGAGACTGCTATATATGAAATATATGGCAGAATGAGGGTAAAATAGAGCTGGAGACATACAATTCTTCCCCCAAGGAGTTCAGTCACAAATTTAATTAGCGCATTTTTTTTTAACGAGCATCATCAGCATGGAAGCCTGTCCTCTGGAATGGTGGCCGAAGCATGAAGGGGCATACGAATGTTTAGCATATCTGGCACGTAAATACCTTGCGACGCCGGCTACAAAAGTCTCATGCGAACGCCTGATCTCACTTTCAGGTGACATTGTAAATAAGAAGCAGGAAGCATTATCTCTCGTAAATGTAAATGAACTTGTTTGTCTGAGCAATTGGCTGAACGAGAAGTAGGACTGAGTGGACTTGTAGGCGCTAAAGTTTTACATTGTTTTGTTTTTGAGTGCAGTTATGGAACAAAAAAAATTTACATTTATAAGTTGCACTTTCACGATAAAGAGATGGCACTACAGTACTTGTAGGAGGTGAATTGAAAAATACAATTTCTTATCATTTTTACAGAGCAAATTTGTAATAAAAATAATATAAAGTGAGCCCTGTACACTTTGAATTCTGTGTTGTAATTGAAATCAATATATTTGAAAATGTAGAAAAAAGATTCAAAAAAATAATAAATTTCAATTGGTATTCTATTAACAGTGCGATTAAAACGGTGATTAATCACAATTTTTTTAATCGCAATTAATTTTGAGTTAATCGTGTGAGTTGACTGTGATTAATCGACAGCCCTAATAGATACATACAGGGGTGGATGGATAGATGGGTATCTATGGGGATGGTTGGGTACATGTCTAAAGGGTTGGATGGGTGGGTATGTAAAGGAAAGGATGGACAGACAGATGGAGGGATATAAACAAGGCTGGATGGGCATGTCCAGGGAAGGAGGGATGGACAGACACAGGAATGGATGGGTACCTTCGGAGCGGGGTATCTAAGGAGATGGTTGGGTACATATCTAAAGGGTTGGATGGGTGGGTATCTAGAGGAAAGGATGGACAGACAGATGGAGGGATATACACAAGGCAGGGTGGGCATGTCCAGGGAGGGAGGGATGGACAGACACAGGAATGGATGGGTACCTTTGGGGCGGGGTGGATGGATGGGTATCTATGGGTATGTCTGTTAGATTAAAGAGACAGACTGTAATTACTAAGGGCCTGTCAAAATATGTTCTCATAACAAGTTGGACTTTATCTAGCGGGGCTGTGAGCCCCTCAGGGCAGGGACTGGCCCCAACGGGGGCCCTGCAGTGCCCAGCCCGAAAGCAGCCCCGATCTTGGCTGGGGTCTGTGCGGCACCTGCGAGTGCCCCCCCGCTCCGCCCCCAAGAACCAAGCTAAACCAAAAAAGTAGAAAACAAAACCCAAAATGATATAAAAAAAATGAATATTTTTTCCGGCAACGTAAAGAAAAAAAAACATAAAAAATTAAAATAAAATAATAAAAAAACCCAACAATTTTATTTTGCATTTTTTTGGAAGAAAATGGAGGGGGGGGGAAATATAAACAGGCTTAAGACCAAAACCACAATTTCTTTTTTTGATTTTGTTTTTTTTCTTTTTTATCGCAAACAGTATAGTACAATGCAGAACCCCTGAAGTCAGGCTCGGAGTCGTTTTTTTCCGGTCCGCCCTTGCTCTGAGCAGCTGTCAGGGCTCACAGAGGGACTGGCCCAAAGGAGAACTGGGGAGGGGGGCGGGTGGTAGGAGAGGTTGGTTATTTCTGAAACCCAGGGAGAGTGGGGGAAGGGAAAACTTTGGTCCTTGGCTGGGGTTGGAGTCAGTCTAGAGGGAAACCGGGGGGTGAGGGTGGGGGGGGGGG